GCAGGAGTGTGCCAAACTCATCTTGTTCATAAGAATCTTTATTTGTGGACAATCTCTGTTGTCTGGTTTATCTTGCTTACAGACTGTTTGTGGCAGGGGTGCAGAGCCTGCTCGGGGGGTGCTTTGCTATTTGCCTGTGACAAGGAGGGCTGCAGAACCTCCCAAATTAATAAGCTCTCCTGGCTTCTGATGGTAGGGAACCAGTGCAGTCTTTTTCATAAAAGATGGCTGGAAACCAGTGGCAATGGTGACCTTTGGCTCACTGCTGGCCGGACCAGCCCTGGTCTGAGCTGTGTCTTCATTCTGCTCTCTATTGCCCGGGTTTTGTCCCTGTTCCTCCATTACCTGGGACACTAGAGCTCCACATTACTCTTAATTTTTGAAATAGGTTGCAACTAGTGGAGGTAGTACCGAGTTGTACACTGGAGGGCAGTATGCACTTTGAAAATGTTTTCTTTTTAGTAGCCGAAGCTCTTCTATTTTCCAGACTTGATTTGAGACTAGTGTGTATGCATCTTCTTGGTGTTGTTCATGTATGATGACACATTAAAGGAAGGTGCCCAGCTGTTTGTGATTTGCATTTCTAAATTTCACAGTACAAAATGTGAACTGGAGAGCCAAGCATTTTGGATAGAATGAATTCTTTGAGAAGACGCGGTTGTTTTTCCCCTTTTAATCATCCTGTTCCTTTGCAATCCATTCTTCCATCATGTCAGGATTTGGTAACCTGATTTGGATTTGGTGTTGTCAAGTATCCTTCACTCTGGATGCTGTCAGGTTTAGGAGGAAACCCAGTGTGGGAGCAGCTTGATCTCTTTTCTACACTCAAAGAATCAACAGAATCACTGTTTTCAACCCCAGGCTGTGGTACTGCTGCTGTTTGCCTGCAGCTAAGGGAGCTGGCTCTCTCCCCTGAGAGCAGCATCAACATACCAGGGTATGCCCAGAGTGTAGCAGACTTCACCACAGTCTCACCTTGGAGCAAAACATGTAGAATATGCAACACAAAACCACTTCTGTCACACTCTGTTTTTTTATAGGCAGAATCTCCTCCAGGGCAATGGGAAACAGCAAGGCCACACAGTTATCTTGAAAAATAAAGGCACAAACTTGCTTTTCACAATTGAAGTGTCCTTTCTAAGGGAGCACTTGAGAAAAAGGAAAGAACTAAGCCCAGATGACTTTCCCTCTCACCATTGTGATGAAAAGGGTGTGTCCTGGCTGCTCTGGTTTATTTTTTCTTTTCCCCAGCCCATCAGAGTCACATTTCATTTACAATACCCCCTCTCCTGTCTTTTTGTTAGTTTAATCTACACTTCGAACTCTTCATCTCTCCAGTTTCCCACCTTTCTTGTGACCTCTGTCAGTGGTTACATGTACTGTTGTGCTGGTGCAGTTCCTGACCATTCACCTGCAGCTCCCACTAGCATGGGTTCCTGGCTGGACACCACATGCCCCCCAAAGCTGCTCTATCACTCACCCCCTCACCTGGACAGGGGTGAGAAAATACAGTGAAAGGCACGTGGGTCAAAATAAGGACAGGGAGAGATCACTCGCCAGTTCCTGTCATGGGCGAAACGGACTTGAATTGGAGAAATCTGTTTCATTTACTACCAACAAAATCAGAGTTGGGTAGTGAGAAATTAAAAGTACATCTTAAAACAGCTCCCCACCCCATCTTTCCCAGGCACCCATTTACTCATGGATTCTCTGCCTCTTCCAATCCAGCGGCACGGAAACAGGGAATGGGGATCGCAGTCAGTTCATCACATTTCTGCTGCTCCTGGCTCCTTGGGGAGGACTCCTCACACTCTTCCCCTGCTCCAGCATGGGGTCTCTCCTATGGGAGTCATTCCTTCACAAACTTCTCCAGTGTGTGTCACGACTGCTCCAGTACGGGTCTTTTTCACAAGGTCACAAGTCCTGCCAGAAAACTTGCTCTGGTGTGGGCTTCTCTCTCTGTGGGGCCACAGATTCTGCCAGCAAACCTGCTCCAGCATAGGCTGCTTCTTCATGGAGCCACTGGTCCTGCTAGGAGCTTGCTCCAGCATGGGCTTTCCGTGGAGTCACAGCCTCCTTTGGGCATCCACCTGATCTCATGTGAGGTCTTTCATGGACTATAGGGGCATATCTGCTCTACCATTAACCTCCATGGGCTGGAGAGGGACAGGCTGCCTCACCATTTTCTGCACCTTGGACTGCAGGGGAATCTCTGCTTTGGCACCTGGAACACCTCCTCCCGCTCCCTCGTCAGTGACCTTGGTGTCTGTAGAGTTGTTTCTCTCCCATATTCTCACTCCTGTCTTTTCAGCTCTGTTGCACAGGGGGTGGTTGTTCCCCTTCTTGAATATGTTATTACAGAGGCGCTACCACCATCTCTGATGGGCTCAGCCTTGGCCAGCAGTGGGGTCCATCTTGGGGACAAGATATCACCTGTTGGACACGGAGGAAGCTTTTGGCAGGCTCTCACAGAAGCCACTCCTGTAGCCCTCCCACTACCAACACCTTCCCATGCAAACCCAAGACACCCACCTAGCTATTCTGCTCACTCACCAGCTCAGGGAGCCGGTCCTTGGTTCATCTTCTGTCTCCATTGTTGGGACTTTCAGCTGTTACCCGGCAAGGTAAGCAGTTACACTTAATCTGAATTAATGACAATGGAAGGGGTGTTTAAGGCAAGAAGAGATGCCCATAGGTCTGATGGGGTGGTAATTAATGCAAGTTGGTGATCCCTCAGCAGGATCACACCTTTACTTTCTGATCTGACAGGCTGCTCATTAGTTTCAAGAGCAATTCAAAGGGTTGGCTTTGACCATGAAAAGAAGTGAGAGATTAGAAAGGTTCATTCTTGAAACATCATTCCTTTTTTAAACAAGCCAAGCATTTAGGTGATTCAGCATTACAAAGCTTTTGCCCATAAACAAAACAACAAAAACAAATAGGTATGGGGGGTCCTTTGGTGCCTAAATGCTGCCTTTGGTATAATCCTTATGGCATGCTCGTGACTGCTGAAGTCTTGGCAATACCTATCAGTGCAGCACTCATTGTGCTAATGCATTTTAAGCTTCCTGAGCCCATAAAGGCAAAGGGCAGAGGTGGAAGGTCAGCAGTTTGGAAGTCTTGGTGTGAAACCTGTTGTTGCTGCCATTTTCTGAACAGCAGCTCTGTAGACATTTGAAATGTCATTATGATATGTTTTTTTTAGATCCTGGCACTTTTTGGCCATGACTAGCTCATGTAGTTCCCAATCTGTTCGAGAGCATGTGTAAATAAGTGCCAATTTCTTTGCATGTATTCCACGCTACACAGAGGTTTTAATAATCTGGGCATAGTAA